GTGTGTGTGTGTGTGTGTGTGTGTGTGTGTGTGTGTGTAAAGGCAGGCGTCCCAATACTTTTTGGCAATATAGTGTATGTGTAAACATTAGTGTTTAGATTTGTTTCTAAAGCGTGCTTCTATGGATGTCCGCTGCACATGTGCCGCACGATTGCGACTTGGTAACATACTGCCTTCTGGTATAGCTGTGATATAGCAATCCCAGAAGGTAGCAGGGCCCAGCCTAGGCCAGAAGCCCAAAAGTGCTGCTTTGCAGCACAAAAAAAAAAACTAAAAAAAATGTTGGTAATGGTTTGAGAGAGGGAGACGGATAAAGTATAAAATATTGTTACAGAAAGTTCAGTTCCACTTTAAGCCCTGGTTCACACAGGATCCAACTTTGAAATCATGCGACTTGAAGTGAAGTCAGTCAGATGGCAATATGACTTTAGGTGTGACTTCATGGACATCAGTGCAACTTCATGCACAAATGTCTATGCAAGTCGCACCCCAAATCTGCAAAAGCAGTGCAGCAACTACTTTTCTAATTGATGCGACTGATGAAGTCTGAGTCGCATCAGTTAGAGTGGTTCCATTGCTGATCATTGGATGCGATTTGTCATGCGATTTGAACAATCAAATCACATGACAATTCGCATCAGTGTGTGCAGGGCTAAGTGACAGCTGTGAATCTACTGAGGCTGCCCAGCAGCAGTCTCAAGGATTTTTGATGTCTTCTCTACACAAGGGGAGCCTTTTACAAGTAAATAGCATGTTTAAAATATTTAAATATATTCTGTAGTTTTGTGGAAAGAGTGTTGGTGAAATAATTGCTCTGGTGGCACGTTTTCTTTAAGCAAGCATACTTTATGGTACGGGTGCACCAAAATTTCGGTGGTCGAAACGTTTTGGCCGAAAACACCCTGTTGGCCAGTATGAAAAAAAGCACTGATACAGGTGCCGAAAAAAAACCCCGTACTTCGCCACCTGGTAGTTCAGAGCCTTACCCGAGAAACCACTGAACGATCCCGGCACTGGGCATAGAGATTAGTGAGGGAAAGATGGCCTCCACTCATATCTATGCCCTTGGAGGACCGGAGTGATGTCACGTCCGATTCCAGCACCTTGTAAAGTCTTTTTTTTTTTTTTTTTTTTTTTTTTTTTTTTTACCACCTATTGCTTGACCCAATATCTCTCTATAAAGAGGACCTTTCCCTAATTCTTTCTATCACAAGGGATGCATGCATAGGAATAAAAGTGATTTTAACTTTTTTTTTTTTTTAAAGGGACAGTGTTAAAATAATTAATTAAAAAAAAATGTAAAGTGCCCCATCCCCCCGTGCTCGCATGTAGTGGTGAATGCATAGTTAGGCCACACCCACATGTAAACGGTGTTCAAACCACACATGTGAGGTATCTCCATGAACGTCGGAGAAAGAGCAATAATTCTAGCACTATATCTCCTCTAACATTTTACACTGCTAACCTGTATAAATTTTTAAAGCATCACCCATGGAGATTTTTAAGTACCATAGTTTAACGCCATTCCACAAGCGTGCGCAATTTTTAAAGCGTGACATGTTGGGTATCTATGTACTCGCCGTAACATCCTCTTTCATATGTTAAAAAAAAACACAATCTATACCCCAATTTTTTTTTTTTTTTTTTTTTTTTTTAATCCGTGTATTTGTTTCCATAAAATATATCATTTTTAAAAACTGCCTATTTTGGTTTTCGGCCAAGTGCATCCTGAATTTTCATTTTGGTGCACCACTACTTCATGGTTGTGTCTTGGGTCCCCAAATTGCACCCACGTGGTAGGAATCTTTTGTTAAAACCATTTTTGTAATAGTTTAGCCCAGGATAACATCCACTAACCTTTTCATTTTTGTTAGTCTGGCATCTCACTTTATCCATCGGTCCTATCGTCGTGTTAATGAAAATTTGGCTTTCTTGATTTTTTTTTATTGCTGACAGTGTTTTAAAGTTACATTTTGTTTAAAAGCACGTTTGCACTTGTGTAGTGCATACATGAGCGCATAATCGCACAATTATGTATATGTTCAAAAAAAATGTAAAAAATGTGTGCTGCATTTGTGGTGCCTTTCATGGTCAATGGCACCTCAGATGTGAAAAACAAGATGTTCCGTTTTGTGCACAGAAAGAATTAGCAACATAGAAAAGTGATGACCAAAAAAGACCGAGTGGTCCATAGAGTCTGACTGGTTTTTTGTTTGTTTTTTTTTTTGTGGGGAGATTTTTTTTTTTTTTTTGTCCTAAGTATAGATCTATGCCTGTCCCAAGCTTGTTTGAAGCTATTTTCTGTTGACTGGCTCACTATCTCTGCTGGGAGTTTATTCCAAGCATCAACTATCCTTTCAGTAAAATAATACTTTCTGAGATTAGTTTTGAACTTTCCTCCAGTTTAAGGTCATGTCCTGTGTTCTTGATTGTTGTTTCATTTTGAAAATCCTGCCCTCCTGAACCTTATTCACCCCCTCAATGTATTTTTAAGGTCTCAATCATGTCTCCCTTTTCCCTTCTTTCCTCCAGACTGTACATGTTTAGTTCCCGAAGTCTCTCTTGATCTGTTTAATCCCCCAGAACTCTCACCATTTTTGTTACCCGTCTCTGGACTCTTTCTATCCTATCAATCTTTTTATAAAGAGGTCTCCAGAACTGGGCATAGTATTCTAAATGAGGTCTAACTATAAAGAAATATATATGGAAATCTGGACCTCCTTCCTCCTGCTGATGACCCCTCTAGTGATGCATCCTTGAATTCTATTCGCTTTCCCCACTGCCTGGCCACACGGTTTGCTCATTTTGCAATCATCTGAAATAGGTACCCCCAAGTCCTTTTCCTCTTTAGTGCTGGCCAACACTGTACCCCCAATGTTGTACTCTCTCAAGGGATGCTTTTCCCCTAGGTGCATTTTTACATTTTGAAACATTGAAGTGTGATTTCCAATTTTTTTCACCAATCTTCTAGTAATGCCAAATCATGATCCATGTTACAGACACCTCCAGGGATATCAACCTTATTGCACACCTTTGTGTCATCAGCAATAAGACATACCTTACCCAAAAAGCATTTAGTTATATCACTGACATATAGATTAAATAGAACAGGACCTAATACAGAGCCTTGGGGTACACCACTAGTGACTAATCTCTGTTCTGAGTGAACCCCATTTACAACCACACTTTGGTATCTATCCTTTAGCCAGCCGCATATCCACTGTACCACCCAATGGCTAAGTCGTAGCTTGTACAACTTTTGTATTAGATCATTATGTGGAACTGTATCAAATGCCTTGTTGAAATCAAGATATGCTATGTCCACAGTGTCACCCTTCTCTAAAAAATGTTTAGTTTTTTTTTTTTTTTTTTACTGTATTACCAATCAGATTAGTCTGACATGATCTGCCCTCAGTAAAGCCATGCTGCTTTTTGGATCCAGCAAGTTGTGTGTTTTTAAGTGATCAATGATTCTTCTTTTCAGAAGTGATTCCATTAACTTGACTACAACCGATGTTAAACTCACTGGCCTGTAATGGCCAGCTTCTACCTTGCTGCCCTTCTTGTGGATAGGTGCAATATTCACTGTCCACCAGTCATGGGGAACTTCTGTTAGAAGAGATTGCTTAAACATGCAGAGCTCAAAAAGATACTTGAGCTTTTTTTTTCCATGTTTATCACATGTAGGGCATCTCATCGAAATGAATGCCCTGTGCTAAGCATGAAAATGTGTGCATACGTGGCGTATGGTAGTTTGAATGGGGGTAGAATAATGTTATAACTGATAAAGCTACAACGAAAGGATTGTGTAGACTGAAATAACATTTCTCCTTACAATAGTTAAATCTAGCAGTTTGAATATACAGTACTGCATGATGTTTTCTTCTGATGTATTGAAGATTATTGAAAACTCTGGGTATTTCGAGCATTTCTAATAATGTTGATGCTTTTCAGCTTTTTTATTTTAATTTATTTTAACTACTGACTATGAAATAACTTCAACTTGCTTTATTTCATAATGCGTTAAAACTTATCCTTTTTGTAGTAAATTGCCTAATAAACATAAACCAACAAATCTTATAGAAAGTTGCTTAAAGAAAAATGGAAACAAGATTTTTATTATTGGGCAGTCTTGAAAACTAGTCATTGTGGAAAATTCTGCTGGGGAAAAAAAAAATAGTACTGTGTGGGAGTTTTGGCCAACAGCTTTCTGTAGACATGCAGCTAAGTTGTAGGAGCAGTGAGCTGAAAGGCATGCCTGGAGGGATAAATGTTTAATAGTATGTCTGGGTATTCCACTATCAGAAACTAATGATTCTGCTTGTTATGACTGGTCCTTATAATGTTATCTGCTAATTGCGTAATCATTGCTTGTGAACCTTCAAACGGTATGTTCTTGAAGAAATTACCTCATATAACAACTTACTACGTTTGAAAATACAGCAGTGTTCAAACAAGAAGGGGCATTTTATTCACAGATATTGAATTTTGTTTCATTAAATTTAAATTTTTTTTTTTTTTTTTTATATTATTTTTAAGTGGTATTAAACCCCAAAGCAATAATTTGTTATATTACAGCTTTCCAATTCTTGGATGTGATGGCTGCATTCGTTTTCTTTTTTAACCAGTTGCTGACCGCAGATAGCCGAATGATGGCTACACTGCGGCTGGCCAGTTCTGGGAGGGCGTCATATGACGTCCTCCCAGAACGCGCACTCCTGCGCGCCCCCCGGTGATCTCCGTGATCGCTGTGTTCTATGGACACAGCTGATCACGTGATGTGGTAAAAGGCTTTTTACCACGTGATCAGCCATGTCCAATGACACGCTAATCTGCGGGAAATGCTATTGCCGGTTCTCAGCTGCACTTTCCTCACACTATCAGAACGTGGGGAAAGTACTGCCGAGAACCGGCAGTTGTCAGAGCAGGGATCGGCACCGATCATCAGGGCACTGATGATCAGTGCCCATGCACCCACCTGTGCCGCCCATCAGTGCCACCCAGCAGTTGTGCCAGTCAGTGCCCAGCAGTGCCGCCAGTCAGTGCGGCCTATCAGTGCTGACTATCAGTACCCATCATCAGTGCCGCCTATCCATGGCACCTCATTAGTGCTGTCTATCAGTGCCGCTTATTAGTGCCCTTCAGTGCTGCCTATCAGTGCAGCCTCATCAACGCATATCAGTAAAGGAGAAAAATTACCTGTGCAAAATTGTATAATAGAAACAAAGAAACCTTTTTTTGTTTTATAGCACAAAAAATAAAACCCCCGGCAGCAAGTAAATACCACCAAAAGAAAGCTCTACTTGTGAGAAAAAAATTATAAAAATTTCATATGGGTACAATGTTGCATGACCACGCAATTGTCATTCAAAGTGCGACAGCGCTGAAAGCTGAAAATTGACCTGGTAAGGAAGGGGGTATAAGTGCCCGGTAGGCAAGTGGTTACTCTTGCTTTCTTCTGTTTCCATCTGGTGATCCAGACAATAAGGCTGCTGTTTTTACAAAAGAAGATGCTCTGATGTTTGTTTAGAGATGGGAATAACCATTCAACACTGGCAGAGGTGCTTACAATGACCAGCTTTTGATTTATTTACAGCGCTGAGCAAACAGTTGGCGCTATATCAATCCTGTATAATAATAATAATAATTTATGTAAAACCTTTTATCCCAAAAGGGATTTCAATGATTCGTAAGCTGCAACAGATTATATTTGAGTTTAATAACGGTTTTTAAAGTGGTTGTAAAGGCTGAAGGGTTTTTTTGTTTTTGTTTGATTTTTTTTTTTTTTTTTTTTATTTACCTTCGTGCATTCTATGCACGAAGGTAAAAAAAAACCTTTTGTGCTGCTCCCCCCACAGCCCCCATAATACCTGATCCCAGTCTCGATTCAGTGATGTGCACAGGAGCCTTGGCTCTTCTGGATCTCTCTCCTCTTTGGCTGAAACACAGCAGCGGGAGTCATTGGCTCCCACTGCTGCTATTCACAGCTGTTGAGAGAGTGGGGGATGGGGCTGAGCAGCCCTCTGTCTTTATAGACACAGAAGCAGCTTAGGAGCAAGCACATGTGAGTACTCTTAGAGCAAGCTGCACTCAGGGGCCAGAAGTGCCAAGAAGAGGAGGATTGGGGTTGTTCTCTGCAAGACTATTGCACAGAGCAGGTAAGTATGACCTGTACCGTATTTTTCGCTCCATAAGACGCACCTGACCATAAGACGCACCTTGGTTTTAGAGGCAGAAAACAAGAAAAAAAAAATATTCTGAACCAATGGACTGCAGACATAGTACAGGAGATGACCAGAGACTGCGGACACGGTACAGGAGATGACAGAGAGACACGGTACAGGACCAGAGACTGGTACGGACACGGTACAGGAGATGACCAGAGACTGCGGACTGCGGACACGGTACAGGAGATGACCAGAGACTGCGGACACGGTACAGGAGATGACCAGAGACTGCTGACCTTTGGGGACCTTTGGGGAGGGGAGGGGGAGCGGGTACCTGAATTTGACAGGTACCCGCTCCCACTTCCGCGGAGTTGTCCTCCCTTTAATGTGGGCACCCGGCTGACAGCTGGGTGCCCAGTGCGCATGCGCAAGAAGCGTTGTGCTTTGTGATTGGTCCGGCGCCTTCTGGGACCTGTCATGTGTCCCAGAAGACGACATACCATTCACAAAGTGCAACGCTTCTCGCGCATGCGCACTGGGCACCCGGCTGTCAAGCCGAGATCCTACACTAAAGAAGCCGGTGCGGGAAGACTGCAGCGCTGGACCGAGGAACAGGTAAGGTCCTGCTGCAGAGCTGAGCGGCCGACCCGGTATTCTGACGCGGCGGTGGAAATACCGGACCGGCCGCTCCATATTCGCTCCATAAGACGCACTGACATTTTCTCCCCTTTTTTGGGGAGAAAAAAGTGCGTCTTCTGGAGCAAAAAATACGGTATATGGTTGCTTGTTTGTTTTTAAAAACCCAAGCCTTTAATATTTGCTTCAGTCATTCCCCTTCTAGCTGCTTTTCTCTTTTCCTCTGGAGCAGCTGCTGTAGGGTATAGTGTATTCAGTGTGTAGTAGGTATTGCCCAGAATGGTAAAAGACTAGGCTTCAGAGACTTGAAATGGAAGAAGTGAAGTTTGGTGACCTAATGAAATCAGAGGGAGCTGGAACTATATGGAGAGGATCTAGAAAGAAAATGCCAAGGATTAGAAAAGGAGCCAATAGTTAAGCAGAGAGAGCTGGATGGAGACCTATTACTCTGACATTCAAGAGTTGAAAGACTAAAGGAACAGATGGGAATCCCCTACTTCATTCATTCAAAGTAGATTAGGGCATGATGTTCCCAATACAATGTTCTTGGCAACAAGATTAACATTTTAGCAACAGTGTGGCCCTGTACTCTTTGGCAGTGACTAGCTCTTGGTGCCCAACCTGCACTCCTCGGACCCTAGGTATTTACTAAAGCCATTGAAGGGGCAATATTTTTTACAGTGGTTAAAGTAGTTCTAAAGTTAAAATGTTTATTTAATTTGATGCATTCACTGCATTAAAGTGATTGTAAAGGATCACATTTTTAAAAAATAAGAAACATGGTATACTTGCCTGCTCTGTGCAGTAGTTTTCCACCACAGAATAGCTCCAATCCTCCTCTTCTAGGGTCCCCCACTGGCGCTGCTGGCTCCTGTTCCCCTCCCCCCTCCAGCATATGCCCCCATTGCAAGCTGCTTGACACTAGCCGCTAGGCCCTGCCCCTGTTCTCTCCTCACTGACTATGATCAACGGCAGTGGGAGAGAGCCAAGAGCGCTTCTACTTTCGTGCACAGCGACTGGCTAACCGAGGTGCGCACGTGCGGCTGTGACAGGTGAAGAGGGAATAAAGGGGACTTAACTTTGAATATATATAAAACCATATATAAGATCAGGCGTGCCACACTTTCACAGCCCACACTACCTTTGGCCACCACCAGATGGAGACTCCACTGCAATCCAGCAGGTCGACCACACACTGACAGATACAAATCTTACATACAATCTGGTGCACTGATTAGAGTTGAGGACCAGCTTAGTAATTACACACCCTTCTAAGGTTCCTCCAGCTAGCTAAAGCTTGAACCCAGCTGTTAACCCTTCTACTGTCCACACCCCCCCCCCCCCCCCCCCCCCCTCGTACCAGACCCACCACCAAAAGGTAGCCTGCCACCACACAACAGTTTATCCGCAGAGCGGTCTGCTGGGACACCCCACACACACAGATCTCCGTCTGGCCAATCTGTTACCTTTTACAATCTGCACGCAATCTGCCCACACACAGTGCAATTGCATACGGATTGGCAATGGGCTTGACCGAGCGTTTAAAAGGCACTAAAATACAATACAATCTAATCCAATCTCTCTGATCCAATCTCTCCTGAAGATATGAGCACCTGCTTAAATACACAGAAGTCACTAATTATTTTAAGATTTAATTTCCTGAAATGGGCAGTGCATAAAATATGTACAAAATACAAGAAGACCCACAAATGACTATTCACTATAAAGTAAAAGGGAATAAAAGACAGAAGTAAAACTTTACCAGTATTTACCCTGTGACTGGAGCAAGTCAGAGAATCAGCAATCCGTTGGTCGATCGAACCAGCTCCGTATGAATAGCCAATGTCCCAATGCCCGGGTGCTCCTTTTTATCTGGATATGGACGTAGGCGGAACATTAGTCCTCGGCCAATCGACCATGGGGAGCTGCTCCTGCACCCACCCACAGGATGCTCTGGTTGCTGACCTACCCAAGTTCAATCGGACCAAGGCCGGCCCAAACACCAAGTCGGGGATTGAACTTCCGACACCAGCGCATCGGCCCGATCGCGACCGTACCAAACACCATTCGACTGTCGCAATCCATCGCCACCTAACGATTCCCTACATTTTCCTGGCATTCTACCTAAGCCACAATTATGGTTTTTATATGCAGATGTAGCGCACAGAATGCCCTACAGGAAGGGAGCATGTTCATCTCTCTGCAACTAATATTTTAGCTTTTTTGAAGGATGAAAACGTACTTCTTTGTATGTATATTCCTTTTAGAGCTTTCAGTGTCAGGCAGACAACCAGTCTGCTGTCATTTCCTCCAAACCGATTTTCCCAGAAGGTGACAACCTTAACACAAAAGGTGTCACATCCAGGAAGCCGGGCTTTTCAGAAGGCAAGTGATGGTAATTGATGACCACTGTCTAAGTACATCTGACTGAATATACATCTAATCTACTCAAATCTGTACATTTATGTCACACGTGCATGCACTATGGTTACGATTACATATTGCTACTGATCACATCTCATCTACTCAAATCTTACACGTACGTTACATCTCCCCTCTTCCAGACGACGCATAGCTGAGCCTAAATGGGTTGGCTAACGCGTCTGCCAGGAAGGTTCCCTAGGTTGGGGGGAGCTCTCCCAGCTAAAGCTTGACACTGCCGACAGCTCAGCCCGTCCCCCCCTGCCGATGGGAGAGGGCTCCTGTACAGCTCTCTGACTGATCCTAAAGGGTTTGGTCACCACTGGCCAGCAGATCACCCCGTGGATGCATTTCATCCACTGGCCTCCAACTTTCTACTGGATGGGTACAGGCAAACCTGTCTTTGTGTGCTGTCATCATTTCCAGCCACTGGCCAGGGTCATCTGGTGGTTCTCTATTAGCTGCAACACCCAGATGCCTGAGCCTGGCATAAGGTTGTTCCTGGGTGATCGGGTCCTGGTTCCATGGCTTGGATACCAGAACCTCCACCCTCTGACCTGTCTCCTACACTTCTGCTCTTTCTGCTTCAGCCAGAGACCGGTCAGCACAACCCCTGAGTTCCTCCGGGCTGACATCCAACCTATCAGCCAGTGAGAATACAGTGTTGTCAGATACAGTCTCTGAGAAAGCAGATTCAGAGGGGGTCAGTGCTCCCCCATCATCCTGTGATCCTCCCTTTGCTGTGCACAGCAATGAATCCTCAATCATGATACTCATAGCTGTGGGGACAAAGGATAAATCCACAGAAGACTTTATTCCACCAGGGGTCATTCT